GGATTTAGCTCCATTCACCACAGCTCTCTGTTCTCAGCCCTCCAGCCAGTTTTTGACACAACAAAGCGTATGCCTGTCCCAGCCATGCCCAGCCAGCTTCTCCAGGAGGATGCTGTGGGAGACGGTGTCAAAGGCCTTACTAAAGTCTTAAGGTTAGAACCAGTATCTGGAGAGTTCAATTTCAGAGAACTGAAGACATAGTTCTGCTAGGCTGCGGAACTACAGACACCCTGGATGGCCTAGAAAAAGGAATTATTATTTGTCTTGAAGTACTCCTGAGGCACTCACAAGCAGCCAATAGCAGAAAGAGCTAGAACCCAAAGAGTCAAAATACCTAATTAGGGTGCAACAAAATACCAGATGGTCTAGATCAATCAGTTGCAACAAGCATTACAGTTCTGATGACTCTTCAATGCACTCCAAAGACTGATGTATAAGAAAGTAAAATGGAGAGAACTGTTTAAACTCTAATCACAAGTAATTGCATGTAAATTTACATGTCAGTGTGACAAAATTAGGTCAACCAATTAATTAGGTAAAACCAGAGTAGTCATCTTGATGTTGCTAAAGAAAATTCTTGGTACTGAGAAACTCTTCAAAGGCTTTCCATTAAGGGAAGCTGTACTGAAAAAGGAACAGGAAAACTGACTTCCCACTTAACCTAAGTTCATGACAACTGGAACTGAGGAACAACGACAAGGTCCTCGCTATGCTAACAGCGCAGCACGTAACTCTCTTCAATCTCTAGCATACTTACATCATCACCAGAGAAATACTGATCTATGATTTCAAATGCTAGTTTATAAATGTCTTCATTTTCGTGCTGTTGCAAGGCTTCAATTTTCTCTAACCCTGGATAAAAAAAAAGGAGAGGAATTTTATAAGTTTAAACCGAAGTGAATCACTGACTATTTAAAAAAACAACACCTAAACTAAAAAAAAAATAAAAAATGAAACATTACTATTGACATATACTAGAGAAGACGCAGCTCAGTTGGAAAATACTGTCTAACACAACAGCTATCTTTATGTCTAAGACTGAAAACAAAAAAAACGTAGTTTGTGAACCTTGGCGTGCTATGGAACATCACATTTTATGGAGAAGGCACAACAGAACCGTCTCTCTTTTTACATAAACTACCTACATAGTAGGTACTACATACATAAGCTACTACATAATTTTTTATTCCAGCCATTGTGCTTTCTGTCACCAAAAGGAAGTGGCTTCACTTGTGCTGCATATGAGTTTAGAACAACACCGTGACAGTCTCACACCAAGAACAGCTTAAAACTCTAGTTCCATTTTCAAACTGGACATGGTATAATACACAAGGGAAAAACTTCCAGTATAGTAAGCTCTTAAACATCCCTTTACTGCTACCTATCTGTACTGTAATACATCCATTAGCATGTGTTAAAACTTGGATTGTAACATTCAAAAGCCTGAATCCTCATCCTGGTTTGGTCTATAATGAAATTATGATTTTTAACAACTGCTTCCAAGGCAATAAACTAAAGCAAGAATTGTGTGTTTCACCACAGAACTAAGTATATTAAATAATCAAATGAAAAGAAGCACAATTCTCATTTAAACCTAAAAAATACCTAGGCTACAGAAAGCTCGATGATCACCTCCAACATAATCCCTAAACAGAAATAAACAGAAAAAAAGTAATTTCTCTCATAGAAGTCTCACTTGCTTATTCAAATAGCCCATGGTAAAAAAAAGCTGTAGTAAATAGCAGCAGCAGCAAGGGGAAGACACAATAATATCCAGCAAATTAAACTTTTTTAAAGCCTAATAAGCATTACCTCCACACTCTTCTATAATTTCAGCTATTGTGCTCGCCTCATCACCAGCCATTATCAGGATGTTTTTCAGACCATCCAGCACCACCTGTACCACTTGAGAATCCTTTACTGAGAGTAGATTGCAGAATGGTGGGATTACATTTTGCTGTACAAGGTATTCAACCTAAATAATGAAAAAAAAAGGTGCTTTCAACATTGTGCTTCTCACAGACAGCTGCATGCCTAACGCTTAGTGCCAATCTGAAATCCCACTACACTTACCTGATCTTTTCTCCCACTTATTGTCAAATTGCTAATTGCCCAGGCAGCTTCCTTTTGTGTTCCAAAGTCCCCCTGAAAAATAAAATTAATAGCTCATTAAAATCAGCATGGAAACATCTGTCAAGCTTATTATCAAAAATCACAGGCTCCTCATGTCACATTTATAAAAAGAGGATGACAACTCGCATAGCTGATAGTTTGACTGACCTTGGCCAGCTGGTGTATGATCATCGGGATTAGCCCAGCATCTATTACGGCCTGAACTTGTTGCTGGTTTCCTGCTGTGATATTGGAAAGGAACCAAACTGCTTCCTACAATTGGACAAAACAAAAAAGCAAAACATTTCAAACAAAACAATCGCAAAAACTAAAACTGTACCATGCCCAATCACGACACAGAACCTCCATGTTTCCTCCCCAACAGCACTTTTAGCACACAAATTTTTATTGCACTGTGAAAGCCAAACATGCATGGGATCATTGTAAAATTGATATGATTAATTAATGGTGCTAAATTATTACTTGTACAAGGAGTGTCTCCATACATTGGGAGCAATACTGACTTAAACCTTATATCCCCTTTGCACTGCTGGAGTCACAGCCATGTTTTAAATTTTCAATCAGTTTTGCAAAGAAAACAGGAAAACTGGTAAAACCACAAACACTTAGCCTGTAATCCTACTCCTGACAGCTTAGTAGTAGCTTTCTGTGCTGATACAAGGAAGACCAACTCCAGCTCCCATTTTCTTCCTGAAACATGAAGTGGAGCTCACAAAGCTCATTCAAGTATCAGATCAGACTCTCAGTCCTGAGATTTTACTCAGCAGTTCCCTCCTTCAGGTGGTTCACTGGCAGAGCTAACATCTATCTAATGGCACTTACAAATTCCTGGTTACAAAGGGGAATACTTGTCAAGGCAATCCAGAACACCTTAAAAAGACTTCAATTTTAAAGTAGAAGAGAAACAGATATGGCAAGCAGCCAATTATGAAGTACTACATGAAAAAATCATAATGGGTTCAATTTTTTAGGGATGTATATCTTGCTTTTACTTGTATTCACCCCTCACAACATACACTTAAAATAAAACTCAAAGCATTTCTAGGCTCCCCTTGTACAAAAGTAATTCCTTTCTTGGCATTCAAAAAGAGCTCTTCATCATTATTTTGTGAGAGCTAGAAGGGCAGGCAGAAACAAATCACAGCAGTTTGGACTGTCAAAGGTAACTTCCTCAGAGCTCTTGACAGCTGACGAGGCCTGAAGAAACAGATTCCTCACACACAGATTTCCCCTCAATGGTACGCTAAATGGGGGAACCACATAAGCTAAACCAAAAAGCCTCCTCCTCAGCCAGTCCCATTTTTTGTAGCGGAAGATGGCATGGTGATTAAAAAAAAATTCAAATAACATGAAATATAGCCCTGAAAACGAGGGCACTGATCACCTTAATTTAACTGCCCATGTGCCACCCAGTCCTTGCAGCAGCAAAGTTACCTCTGCCAAAAGGAAGGAGACGAAATGCTCCCTACTCCCTTGAAGATGGATGGACAAGACAACAAACTCCACTACAAAAAGGTGGAGTGGATAAACTGAATTAGTGTTACTCAACTCACTGGACTCATCCAAAAGTAACACACTTTAGTTATGAAAAACTATAATGCAAGTTAGCCAGTTACTCACTTTGCAAATGAAAAAAAAGTATCGCGCTCCAAAGCAAAACCCATCAGTCCTCCCAAAAAGCACTAGGCAGCAACACCAGTGCATGGATCCTCATTATGCCTGTTTGGCTTTAGCCTTAATTAAACAGCAGTCTCAAAGGCTGTGTCCTTATACAAAATTGCTCACACATCAGAAATAAGAGCTGTAAGAAATACCTCTGTAACATGCTACAGACTACTATTTTATTTTTTAAACAAAAACATAAAGCTAGGAAGAAACGAATCATACCTTATTTATCTTCTCTTTTGGATGCGTCAGGAGATTTGGGAAATAAGACAAAACATCACAATTGAGAACAACTTGTGTCTGTTCATCAGTACCAGTTACTATGTTGCCTACTGCTCTCAGTGCTGCTGTCTGAATATCCAAAGTGGGAAGGAAAAAAAAATTGCATGTTAAAGACATTGCTGTTACTTATGCTGTAACAAAAATAATTTTAAGACGCCTCTATAAAAACACTTTGCAAAATACAATTTAGCACTTCAAACTCTGAGATACATTCTAAAAATGTGTACTGTTTCATCAAAACAGAAACACACAGTGCAGCATTTTACTGAAGAGATGAACTGCAGCTCAATTCAAAAAGTGTAAAGAACAGAAATTAAAAGAATATTAAAACAAGAGAAGAGTTAATTCATTGTGTATCTGATCTGAATTACAATTACATTAACTGTTTCTTTGCCTTGGCTTTAATTAACTGTGTCTGCCAAGGGTGCTTTCTTCTCCATTCACCTCTACACTACAGAATTAAAAAACGCACAACTACTTTCCTTCTTACTGACCCTCAGCTGGCTTTCACAAATGGACTTTGTATCTTTACACATTGGTTACTAAATAATGCTTTACAACAGACTGAATACTGGAGAGACTCCTTTTCATGGAGTGAAGTGGTCTGACAAACTTCAGGACAGCCAAGTCTCATCCAAAGTACCAACTAAACAAACGCGACAAATGGACAGATATAGCAAAAAGCTCCCAATTACAACAGTTTGTTTATAAAAATCAACCAAACATTAACTTTTAGTTTGTCTTTGTCTTTGAAATTAATCAAACTCAGTTAACCTACCTTTTGTAACTAATCAGAAACTTACTTTACTGAAAGGACCCAGCACCTGCAAATATTTTAGCATTCAAAAGTCCCAAAACAGGAACTGATTTCCATTCAGACAGAATATGCACAACCAAAAGAAAAGAGTGCATATAACTTGAATTCTGGGAAACGTAAAATCTGTTGTCATTAAATATTTTAGGACTACAAAAGGAAGGCACCCCTGGCAAACACACAACAGAAGTTAATGTTTAACTTGTCACTTAAAACTATATTAGCACTGTTTCGTTTGAGCTTTCTTTCATTTTAATATTTTTTTCCCCAGTGTAGGTAATGGGTTTTTTTGTTCAGTTTTACCTGCAACAAATGTAGCTATAAATACTCATCTTGGTACTCCATGGCACATTTTTTAGAAAATAGCTCACAAAGGACTATTCAATAGCAACTGAACGAGACTTACTTGAACTTTAACCTCCTGATGACTCAGAAGGGGAACTAGAAAAGGTACAACTCCTGAATCAATCACCATTTGTATCTGTTCATTTCCACCGTCTGTTAAGTAGGACAAAGCCCAAACAGTGTCCACAAGAATCTACAAAATTAAAAAACCTGGTTTACACATTGAACAGTAGAATGGACTGGAGTCTAAGTGATCAACACTCCACATGTCTGGGGGGTAAAAAAAGAGCATGCAATTTAATTACAGGAAAAACTCATATTATTATAAGACCTAATTAGTAAAATATCAAATTATTATGTACAACTATGAAAACTGGGGCAATCTGAATAATAATAACAACAACAACAATAATAATAATGATAATAATAATAATAAAGTCCCCTCTCAAAAGTATTTTTTAACTAAATACATTTTGGTGCACAGAGTGACAGCATACAGCACCTCACAAAGGTAAACTGCTGGGCTTGATTTGCATTTCAAAGATAGAAAACGAGCTCAGATAAGTAGTTGTGCCTGTAACTTTCTGAAGAAAATACCGACCCAGCCTCCCAGCACTGCTGTAACTTGTTAAGCTGTGCTATCTTGAGATTACAGAACACCTGAGCACCCTTAAGTCTCTAATCCATCTATCTACACCTCAGCATTTCTGATCCACAGTGCAGTTCTGAAATGAAACTGCAAACTACTCTGGATGTATGCCTTTTTTTGCGTTCATATTAAGATTAAAATCCACAGCGAAAGAAAGGAGTTCTTATACCAGCTGAAGGACCAGCAACTACTGTAAGGTGGCAACTGTTCAAGCAATGGGAGAACCCACAGAGAATTGACTGTCATGCAGAGCAACCTTAGTATCTTAAAGAAAAAAATTAAGCCACTGATGACTTGATAAGGATGATCTGAAAGCCCTCAAAAAAGAAAGGTACAAAAGTTGCAGTCACTGAAAGGTAATATTTGAAGCAGAAATAAAGCCAGCAGAAAGATATCCCATCACTAAGAGATTATTTTAGGAACTGAAGGAAGAGAAATCAGGACCCCACTGAGGACATCATCTGTTGAGGTACCCAGATCCACTCTGTTTTTGAAACAGATACCCATTTAAAATTTCCAGCTGTTAAGATAGCTAAACACTACGGTACTGAAACACAGGAAGGACTTTTAAAGTCCAGACCCAGGGACCAGACAGCACAAACCTAATGCCTTCCTGCCACAGTCTGCTGCTGCCCTCAACTGCAAACACCACGGGGACAGCAGAAAGTGCTGTGGTGGAGCCGGTATTGCAGCAGAAGCAGTGAGACATGGTGCTTAACCAGTTTGCTGCCGCACAGCCCTGCTGGTGACAAGAGCAGCAGCCACCAGAAGCACTCACAGGACTGCTGGCTGACCTACCTGAATCACTGACCCATCTCCAAAGACAGGTTTGCTGCTCCAGTTCAGAGAGGCTGGGACCAGACTGGTACCTCCAAACTAGCACCTGACTCTCAGGATCAAAAAGACGGGCATCCTAATTGAGATCAGTCAAAACCTGGCATCACATAGTCTCATATCTACTTCAAGAACTTCTCACACAATCATTGCTTGCAAAAGCTTTCAAATTTAGCAGGGGAAAAAAGCCTAAAAGTTAGAAGTATGTTTGGGTTTGTTATGAATTTCCATTCAGGTTTGTCCAAATTACGAATTGGGAAGTCACCATGTGCTATCTCCCACTCGCAGTACACTGTTATTAAATTAAACTGTTGGCATGTATTTTGTGGAGCCAAGCCCACTTCACCATTAAAAGAGCAGCAGAAACACCACTACCACAGCGTGGAAGTAACAAGACAGTTCCACCAATCTGAAGATCTATCCTCAGACCTACCACAAGGGTTCAATTCCTGCTTCCCTAAAATGAAGGATCACTACAGAGAGGAAGAGTCAAAGACATTTACAAAGTCCTGACAGGACGAGGAGGAAAAGAGCAGCTCAGTAGCCCCGAGTTACACAGATCTTTGCTCCTGAAGTCCTGATAGAAGACGTCAGGAGGTAAGACCACCCCTCTAGGACTTGACTTGGAAAAGATATGTAAACCCATGGATAAAGGAATGTGGGAAGTATTGAAGGTTTTGTATTAAAAACCTGAAGAGAAGTTATCTAAGGTGCCACAAAACAATCATTTATTGCTGTTTATTTAAGTGTATTTTCATATGTGATTTCCTTAGATAGGTTGCAAAGTCAGGCACCAACAGGTTACGAAAGTCACATTTATCCATATGATCACAGTATTTGATTGGACTGATACGAAGAATATATATTTTCTACACATGCATTATATATCATCTATGTAAGATTATAAATTGGGGCAGAATTGAAGTGAAGCTCATGGTAAAGCTGGCACTTTAAATTTCTAGTGCTTCATTCCACAAGATAGGATTTTTTAAAATGTAGTTTCTATTGTAAAGGATAAAACAAACTTTTAGAACAGGTATTTCAGAACTGGTTTTAGCACTTTGCTTTTCATGCTCTGGATGACAACCATATTAGTCTTCATGTTTATTTGTGCATTTACTACTTAATTATAGATTAACACACAAAACCAAGTTTGCCACAAACACAATCTTGCAGCATTTTCTCTCTACAGAAAACAAAGAATCTAAGTATCTAAAACTTTAGAAATTACTTACGTTTATATCTGTATGGTAAATGAGAACACACAATGCTGGCAAAATCTGAAAAGAAGTTCATCAGTCATTACAGTAGAATAAAACTGGCTGCACAATCATGAATCCAAGTACTGCAGTCACAAAGCTTAGCTTGAGACTGTGTTAGTATATTGCATTCACACGCTTCCCAGCAGCTGGTCATTCCCTCAAAGTATGTATAAAAATACATATATTATATTTAAATTTTGTGAAAATACAAGATGGTACTATATGTCAAAGAGAAAGAGAGCAGACTACATTTTGAAGGAAAAGAAGCAAACAGAGATAAGACATCCCCCTGCTATTTTTAAAGCTTTGTTACCACACAATATAATAAAAATCATTAGCCTAATATCAATATATAAAACCCTCTTGGATTTAAGTAGAATTTCATTTTTGTATTCACATACGGAGAAAGAGATAAAACTGAGCCACGATAAGACTACTTAGAACAGGGTTTTTATTTGGCAAAGTATTACTTGTAAAAGCTTCCCTGTTCTCTGCTTAATTTTTAAAATTTCATTAAAACTTAGTTGCTAACAATATTGTATTTCATATGGCTTCAAAAACTGTATCTACACTTAAGAATTAATCTTAAAACTGAGAGCTTTATGTACATTACAACTACAGTTCTAGTCAAATGGCATCACTTTACCAGCTGTGTCCACTCTATAAACAACACATTTACCAGTTCACCAGTTTAAAAGGATTTTCAGATGCTTCACTTCTCAAGTGGGAACTTGACATTGCCTGCCTGCTCACAGCTAGTTGAAACACAAACTACACTACATTCACTAGTTTACTTACATTTCCTCTTACTGAAAATAATTACAATTGAATGCTTCTACATACAGAATCATATTTGTAGCCTTCGATAAGAACATGAAATGCCGAGTACATTAACACTTTCTAGTGTGTTTATTTTTTTCTTGTGTCCATTTCAATATATGGCTCATCAGTCTTTATTCTTAATCAGTTTCAGATGTTACAAATACCTTTATTACAGCCTTAGTAAGAAGCATCAAATTGGTCAAATTAACTTCATTTAACAACTGGTAAGTGGCACAAGACAGTGGCACAAAACATGCATAAATTCATAGTATGACAATGTAAAACATCTGGCCTCTAGACCAGAAAACAAAAAATTATCTGTCTTGTAATTCTTTATTTACCTCCTGAACTGTTTCCATAGGCGGTGGGGGGTCCTTATTCCTGCAGAGATTTACAATGACCCATGTGACGTTCCGAAGGAAGGTGATGGGAATGGAGGGATTGATGAAGGACAGAAGAGGTTTGACAACTCCCAGTGATATGACATAATCTCTACACTGAGGACCATCACCTACAGAAATGAAAATTGTTGTAAAAGAAATTACATTAAAAATGGAAAATCCTGAAATGTATGCAATGACATGTTGGGATACTGAAATTCTATGTTTCCTCACCCACAGTCTATTACTAAAAGCTCGTGTTCAATTAAATATACATACGTACACATATGTATGTATATTTTATGATATATAAAATTTGTCCTGTTGGTATTTTGTGTAGCAAGTGATACTACTATTTAGAAAAAAATACGATGCACAAATGTAATTCTGGCCACATGAAAAATTATATTAAGCCTCAGAATTTAGAGGAAACATAGTCTCATATGATAATGCCAATGTTCAAAAAGTTAAATTCTCCAATGAAATGCTCCCTAAACTCAACTCATTATAACAACAAGAGTTACCTATAATATTTCCGAGAGCCCAGACAGCTTGCTCACAAACATTCTGGTGTGGTGAATGAAGTAGTCTCAAGAAGAGGGGTACTGCATCTGCAGAACACAAAGACTGGATTTGTTTTTACTGGAACATGGTGTATGCACAATACTTCCATTAATACAAAACACTTTCTCTACTGTGCCTTATACATGTTTCTATTATGAAGAGCATACAAAACCTCATTTAGTCATTTCTATACATATCTAGAGAGGGGAAAAAATAGACTCGAGAACAAGCAACTATTAAACAACAATGTCCCCTACATTTAAACATTTTCCCCTATTTCTCAAAGTGATGCACAACAGCCTTAAGTATGTAGGTGCTGGGTTTTATGTCCTGGTAATTCAGATTTTCCAGTTATCCAAGATCACAATGCATACCTAGCAGAATCGTATGCCTACTCATGTAAACGTGCTTCAAATCTCGACTTTAAGAAAACAGCTTCCTCCCAGGAGGTGGCTATAGTTAGTTACCATATGCAGTGAAAATTTACATCCATCTGCCAGTCTTAAGACACGTTTTAATTTGCTCTTACATAACACAGGCAACAAACCATATTAAGGAAATGGTCCTGATTTTAGATATCAGCCTCTGCTGAATTAAATACATTTAATAGAGCTAACAAACCTTCCCTCTGCTATTCCCATGCACTATTTCCCTTCAGACAACCCATACTGTTTGAAAGACAGTAATTCTTGCACAATTTTTTTAAACCTATGTATGTTCATACTTGTCTTACAGTCTTTCTGAGGAAAGTAAAATAGATCAATGTATATGCTGTTGAAGGAAAAAAAAAATACTTTTTCTTGTAGAAATAGCTTTGGAAATTCTAAAAAACTGCAACACAATTTGTGAGCAACAGTGAATAAGTATTTTGTTGATAATTTAACATGCGATAATAAGCAAAAAAACCCAGATGTATTTTCTTGAAACATACAGAGCAATAAAGACAACCTAAAATTCCTTCCCCAGCCTAGATGAGTAATTCAGCAATTGCCTATAACCAAAAAGTTAGGAGGGACTGCAACACACCGTTGCTTAAGAACACTCTCTCTAGTTCTTGTAACAATCATCCCACTTCCATTAGCTCAAGTGGAATATTCCAGCTTCCTTCTCAGTGATTACGGAGATTACACCTCAGCCATACGTGTATTCAATATATTTCAGAAAGAAGGGTCAAGTATGTTGTTTATATTAGATTGCAATCCTGGTACGCTTTCAAAAGCAGAAATGAAATTATTTCCTATTAGCACACAGGCAGGAGGGCAGTCTGAAAAAGCAGGAGTTTCAGGTTATCTGATCTAGCGCTCTCAAAAAATTAATTACTTCTGCTCCAAACTGGCTCCTGCCAAGATCTATTCTGTGTATCTAGTCCTTCTCCTCTTTTGTTGGGCCCTCCAACTGCCATCTGTCCCTCTTGATTGCAGGAAGCCTTCTTTTGTATTTAGGCTGCACCAGCCTATTTCTATAGCTGCAAGGGTCTACCACTTTGTTTCCTCAAACCATCCCTTATCTAAGGGGAGTAGAGTTGGGAGGCTGTTTTCCCTTAGTCATCTCCCAGCCAAAGCAGCAAGGCTTTTAGGCTAAACTTCTTCCATTTTCTCTTCAGGAGCACTGCTTGGGAAATGCTTATTGCTTCTTTAAAGTAGTTTTATCATACATTCTTCTTTTCAAGCTTCTTTTAGCTAAACAGACTTTGGGAGAGACATATCCCAGCCTGAACTTCTAGTAATAGTTCAGGTAACAGCAATGCTTTTATCTATACTGTACATATTTTCATTCTAATTTTAATTTTTCCTTCAAGATTTTTTCCAGGTTTTTTTACTGCAAAGGTAATACTGCAAGCAGCCTTTTCATTAGATTAATTCATTCAAATATGGTAACAATGTGAGACTTGAAAAAGGAAGAAGACAATGACTAACCAATGAACCAGTTGGGAAGGATGGAGAAGTTGGGAATAAATTTTCAAATGTATTTAGACACCAGAAAAGCAATCTAGAAATAGAGGTGCCAAAATCCTATCAGGATCTTTTTGAAACAAATTCAAGATGTTAATTTTTTTAAAGGTTTTGGATGTTTATCCAAAGCTCATTGTGACAAGCATTCTTATTCTATTGCACCAGTATCTTAACTACACAGATTTTAACAACTACTGAAATATTTTATTAGCTGTTAAAAGGCACAAAACAGCATTTTTATTTGAAAGGCAGATTCATAGACATAAAAAAAGAGAAATCTAATAACTAAGTCACCATTTTCCCATATAAAACCACTGAATATGAATAAGCCAAGATGACTTATTATATAATTGCTTATCTATAGTCTCCTGTTTAATGACAAAATGCTGTGTTTAGCATAAAGGTGACTGCTTTAAGATAAGCATGCTGATACATAAAAGCTCTATGTATAATCCTGAAAAATTAATTTTAATAATTCATTTTCAATTAACTTTAGAGTTTATTTCCTATCTCTCTTTATGATGGAAGTCTCACTGGCTGGTTAAGAAAGAAACAAAGGCAGCTCAACAAACACGGTGCGTACAGGAGATATGGATCATATGGTCAAGGAAAGGATGGTAATTTTCTTAACTATGTATTTAAATGGACAACCTTACATAACTACATATTGAATGGTTTTGGTTGGAAAGGACCTTTAAGAACATCGAGTCCAACCATGGATCCAGCCTTACTAAGTCTGCCACTAGTCCACGTCCCTAAGCGCAACATTTACTCATCTTTTAAAGACCTCCAGGGATGGTGACTCAACCACCTTCCTGAGCAGTCTGTTCCAGTGCTTGACAACTCTCTCAGTACAGAAATTCCTCCAAATATCCAACCTAAACCTCCCCTGGCACAACTTGAGGCCATTTCCCCTTGTCCTATCACTAGCTACCAGGGAGAAGAGACCAACTCCTTTCAGGTAGTTGTAGAGAGCAATAACGTCTCCCCTCAGTCTCCTTTTCTCCAGACTAAACAACACCAGCTCCCTCAGCTTCTCCTCATAAGACTTGTGCTCCAGACCCTTCATCAGCTTTGCTGCCCTTCTCTGGACATGCTCCAGCATCTCCATGTCCTTCTTGTAGTCAAGGGCCCAAAACTGAACACAGGAGTTGAGGTGCAGCCTCACCAGTGCCGAGTACAGGGGAAGGATCACTTCCCTGGTCCTGCTGGCCACACTGTTCCTGATGTAGGCCACAGATTTAACAACTTGAGTAAGATTTATGAACATACCTTTGAGGCAGAAAGAATTTCTTCCTAACATAAGTTTTAGCCATAGAGGAATTAACAGCACACGATTTCAGAAATCAACCCAAGAATTAGAAAGAACTAAATTTTTTTGTTATAATCATTGTATCATCTGTGATTCTGTGATCTTCTCTATGGGAAAATTAGGTCTGGGATCCTTAATATTAATTGTTACTGACAGATTTGAGAAAGAGGACAGAAATACATTCATTATTTTAATGGTTTTAATAACAAATTTGTTATCAAAATATCGCCTTTTACCCACAATATCGACCCCCCTCAAAACCAAATACTTACTAGACTGTACAACAGCTTGAGTCTGTGCAGAAGTGCCTGATGCTATGTTAGTCAATGCCCATGCAGCTTCAAATTGTAATGAAGGACTGTAATGAAACAATTTTATAGTAATAATTTGAAACATGATCTACAGATTATTTTATGGTTCATTTCAGTATCACTAGCTGTATCCACTCTGAGACACTCTATATATAAGCAGTGCCACTGGGCAAAAAGCTAAAAAAAACCCAAACAAAAGTCTAAGCCTGGATATTTCAGAGGAAAAGCTATAAGAAAATAAGATTTTTACTTTCTATGACCTTTTGTAAATCACCCATCATTCTGACTTCATACTAATAATAAAAAAATAAAAGCAGTAATACTTGTTGAAGCACATATCAATCAGTAAAGCTGTCAACTAATTATCTTCTGTATGAAAGACATCTAGCACCCCTCATCGTAAAAGTTAATTATGCCTCTCTAATAGGTAGCAGAGACCTCTTCACATCCAACTGATCCAAACACCATTCATATTTAGTGAAGAAAGTGCAACTGTCTTGCTGCCATTAGTAGTTATCAATAAATTAACCATGTCTGACCATAACTTGGGCTTTCTACCATATATGTTCTACCAGAACAAGTGTAAGCTGGTGTACTGGTATAAAGACATTTTTCTGCTCCATGACAGACAGGGGAAAGATCTAGTATCAGTATCAAAAGACAGCATCATACCTGTATTAAAACTGGTATGTTAAATGCAGATGAAATTAGTTACAAATATTATGAAAGCTGGGGGAACATCTCTTCCAAGATATCTGTCAGCTGTTGTCTATGCCAACAGCAGTTTTGTAGAACAGTTTGCACAAAAACTGTTGTTCAAGCAAATTCTAAAGGTGAGGAGTTCTACAAGCTGTAAAAAGTTCACAGCTTCTGGCAGTTTGCAGAACAGTAAGGTGTCTGGCTTTGAGAAGTGCAGAGAATATTTACTGTTAGGTGACTATTTTTCATTTCCATGCTTGTTTGGTCTTTATCAATTATGTTTTATATATAGCCACAACACCTGCTCCCTTTAAGCTTTTTTTGTGCTTTGGTTTCCAAAGCATTTTAAAGTTATATTTGGGATAGATTTGGAAAAGAATTAGATAGGCCCAAGATGTGTAAATAAGGATTTGTAAAAACAAATAGTACCTGTCAGCAGCTATCTATAAACCTTTACATCCCAGGATCAAATGCACTAAAATTCTAGTTCTAGGTCAGTCCTTCTTTTCTTCCTTTTGTGATAAGCTTTCAGTTATAACGTGAACAGCTTTAACAATCTGTTATACAATGTCTTTGCAGAATTTACGTCTAATAAATACTATACAGCAATCACAATTAAAAGGACTGCTTAATGAAATGTTGAGTTCAATTACAAAAGGCTTATTAAACATTTACAAAGGTAAATCATACAAAAGCTAAACAGAAAATTTCAATTAAAAGAATTTTCACAGCACTGAACCATCTACTTCTACAGCAGACAGGCATTCATGACCCATTTTAAAATGCTATCCTAATTTGAACATTATTGCCAGCTGCCTTCTAAGCAACTGTTTTGTTAAACAAGCTAGAAACACAGCTACTCATGCTTCATGGTTTTGCAACCACCAAATTATATCCAAAATGTCAATTTGCATTTTTGAAGTTTCTAACCTTCATGGCTGAAGAAATTATCTTGAAAATGGAAATGCTGTAAATATATTTAAGGCTGCCTGAGATCAAAAATAGACTAAAGCATTTACCTCAAATGTGTTAATCCCCATCTATCTGAACAAGGGGCTCATGGATTTTTCTTAACATGTCATTAAATTCTTGCAACTACGTGCTCAACGTTCTACATGCTCCAGTACTTCCTTTACTGGAGCTCTTGTTTTCCAACAAAGACTTCTAACAGAGAGCATGCTCACTGTGTTGTACCATCACATCACGGAGCAGCACAGACTCAGGAAACCCACCTTGCAGTGTGAACAAACCCACCTTGCAGTGTGAACAAAATAGGCTAGAAACTTCAGCTAATAACCTTAATGAAAAAGATGGCAAGTGTGTTCTGGCAAAGAGAAGAGCCCTGTTCACAATCAGGCATGTTCTCTGCCTTCACACAGATACACACAGTACATCTGAGACAAGTTTCTTAAAAACAGTTAATAAAAAACTCTAGAATATTCAAAATCAATGAGAAATGTAGTAAGGTTTTTTCCACCAGCTGGATACACTCAGGCAAGCTCTAAAAAATAAAACGACATTTCAGTGGCATACTCCTGGAGAATTTATAGTTTCTTATCATGAAACATGACCCACTGTATCAGATTATATGGTGCTATGAATCCTCAGCTTAATTTGAAATAATGAGATGGTTCTTCGGATGCAGATTTTCAGTAAAGGTGAATATTTTCAAAAGTATACTTACTTATCATCCCTTTCTAGGCATTTTACCAGAATTGGTAAAATTCCTGATTTTATTAAGTCATCAATAGGTGGATTTCTGTCACTGGATAGGAGTTTTCTGCAAAATTAAATGTAAAAATAAAGTAAGTAACTTCATGATGAAAAATGTGTAGGAAATAGATTTCTATGCCTCTATATATTTTCACCTTGCAGCTTGGACAGCACTCAGTTGGATCACTGGGTTGTCACTTGTGGCGTTCTGAAAAAAAAAAGTAACAGTAAAAACTAAAAATGCACAGACAGAATACACACTTCTAATAAAAAAATAGTTAAATGTAACATACCTGCAGTATAGCTTCTAGTGTTACGTTTTGCTTGAAAAGAAAAAAAAAGTTTTAGTAATTTTGTTGCTAAATTATATTCCTTTTAAACATTTAATATAATCAAACTAATTTTAGCATCATATCAAATCATAATTTTGCTTTCACCTAACTGCAAGACTTCCAGTGCTAAAATAAAACCAGAATACACTGTTTTGAGACACCACCAAAGTTTTAGAAGTAATTCCAGAATCAAGCAACTTACTGCTTTGAAGTCAGCATCAACATCAGAATCTTCTAAACTTTCTTCTTGGGGAACATTTCTTTTTTTCAAAAGATGTTCATCTCTTTTGTTCTGTAAAGGAATGACGAAAAATAAAGACACTTAATGCTTATTAGTACAGGGTGACAATATAATGGCTCCTTTCAAAATAAAAGCTTGGATAAGATAGTCTTTTTTTAAAGGCATTTGTAACTTCAAATAGAACTTCAGCTGTAAGAATCTAGCAGCTTGCTAATCACAGACAGAACTATGACAATCCATGACATTTAACTGAATTAAAACTTACAGTTTGGGGATCAATTTTCTAACAGACATTTACAATACACATAGATCTGCATGACATTAACATTTAGCCACACATAACTTTTTTTTTCCCAGTGTGAGATTAGTTTTCAGCTAAACCTACTTCAAAGTTCCCCAGTTACATGTATTTTCATCTTGTGTGTAAAGCAGCATGCTCCATGAACACTGAAACTTGTAGTATTTCCCACTCCCACTGTTAGCCTAATTTCTGACTTAAAACAAAGCACCTTCTAGCCTTGGCTCCTTTAAGGAATTACTGAAGAAAAAAATTACCTTTTCAGTGTTAAAGTACCTATTTAATATTTCTACCTTGCTTAATTAGAGTATTTGAACACCTAAAGCCCCAGTTTAAAAGGAAAAGAACAAAAACATCAATTTTAACTGTACCCAAATGCACTTTTTTTACAAATTTTAAATGTATTAAAAGTATTATTCCAAAAGCATGAAGCTGTCTTTTCTACATTTCAGACTTTATCTTTTGTTTGGAATGTTCAGAGATACAATCAAAGATATAGAAGGTGACAATGTGGTGTGTATACCTGAACACCTTTTTGTAGTTCATTTATTTTTTCAATAAATACATTAAGATTTCAATCTGTAATGAAGCAAAATATTGAAAAGATGTAACAAACAGCTATAACACCTAAACCAAATCTACTATACAAGCAAGGAAAGGATGGCTTTTCAGTCTCCAAACAATTATCTGATAACCAAACAGCACTGACTACAGAGATTTTACTATATCACGCCTTACTTGTAATAGATATATATAAAGACTCGGAATCATGTTTTGAACAAGTTTCCCATATTTCCAGAGGCCCTCTCCATGCACAGGTCAGCTTTCTTCAATGCACAGCTACCACACACATCACCCCATGGAGGAAAGGCCTCCTTGGCCTGCCTGCCTCGGCTGAACAGCTCCTTCAGGATCAGCTGTGCTGTCATGGTAAAGCCTCGGCTGAACAGCTCCTTCAGGATCAGCTGTGCTGTCATGGTAAAAGAAGCCAATCCTGGGAGAAGGGACTGAAGCTGGAGGAATGTCCTGATGTCTTCAGTCCTACTGTCCTTCTGTTCCCACCCAGAGGTACCATCACAGATCAGGGTGGTAAGCGAGTCCATACATGCATGTATGTACTAGGAGTCTTATTTAGATATGAAGGTGGCTCACATCGACCCTGCAGTCATTGCCTGTCTACAGAAAAGGTGCAGCCTGAAGGAACTCGGGTCTTAGTGCAGAACTGTCTGCTAAAATCATTTCCTGGGAATTTCATACTAAATGATCCACCTTACTTGCCATCAGCAGCAAACTACTGTGGTACAAGGCAGGGTTTTCTGATTCTGTTCCTCCTTAAAGTATTTGGTTGGACTTTCTATGTCTCATGCTCAGAAAATTTGGGAAAAAGCTTTGCTTTCTAAAATATGTTTGATAAAAGAATTGTTATCCACACTGATTCACCTGGTGATACCTACTTGTTTTTCAAATTATTCAGTATCAGTGGCACTCAACTATGTGTTTTGCAACATCCTGCAATAGACAGGTGATCTTTACTTTTATAATTCTGTAAAAGAAACCTTTTAGATGGAGGCTTCTTGCAGACTCTTTGATACAAAAGATTATGAAATAACTGGAATAGTCAAGAATTTAGCAAACTATTATTACTGAACTTACTGAAAAGAAAATTCTAGGGAGGAAATGTAACATCTTATTAGTTATTTTCAGATTTCTTCTGTCAGTAAAAAAGGTAAAGCTTTTTAAGAGCACATACAGAAGATTCTCCCATTTAGGTTTTTCCATCGCTGTATTAGCAGATTTCCCCATCACTGAATCCTCTGACCTTAAGGAACTGTCCCTGTAACTGGAGAGAGAAACTGCTACACCAGCATTCCATACTGCTCCCCACAAAAACATCTATGCTGGCACAGAACGGATGCACCTCAGAGAGCTCCAACTGAAATCTCTCCAAAATGCTACGGGTATGCAAGAGCCACCTAAAGTCATACTACTTCACTCCTATTTAAGTGGAAACTTAAATAAGGCCAAAGTCTCTTCAGCTGTGTTGACATCAAATAGATGTCATCCACTCAGAACATAGATCACAATATTAAACTGAAAATAGTATTAGATGTGGGCTGCATGTATCATGCACTTCACTTCCACCCTCCATCCTCCCAAAAAGACATAAACCAGAAACAGTTGAAACCACATCATGCATTTTCTAGCTTAAAAGATCTGTAAGTTTTTGGATGCAAAAAGTGAAGTTGCACTGCAACAACTGTGGTACTGAATACGACTGTGTATCCCTCTATAGATGTGTGTGCTTCTTCAACATATACAATTAGATCATTCTAACTGATCAGTGTTTGCCAGGATTTAGCCTCTACTAAAGTGTAACATAAGGCCTATGGTATCCAGGTACTCCAAAAAGCAAGAATGAAGATGTGTCTTGAGATACTCTCTCAAACATCCTGAAGTACAAGGATACTGGTGGCTGGAATATAGAAAATACAGCTGGAACACAGTGGAAGTTGCACTGTGGGTGACTAGGCAGCATCCTCATAGAACAAAAGGAATGAGCTGCATGGCTTTTAGCAGCCCAATAGCTGGAAAAATCACCTTCCACAAACTCCAGGCAGTAAGTCTAGAGCATGCCAGCAGACAAAGCACTGGCTTATTCCATGCTGCTTCACCAAAGAACTTCAGGACAACTGCCTGTCTGTAACCATTATTCAATACACACTTCATGTTTATTCACAGTGAGCACACTTCTATACAAGTAATGTCAGCTGAAATAATTTGCTTGAGTAGTATTTAGAGGGGCATGCACAAATTCTCTCTGTTTATTGCCAGGGAACTGGTGATGAAGAAGTTTTTTTAAAAGTTTTTCTAGTTCTGTAGCAACCTTTCAGGGACATGGACAGAGGAAAGGAGGGCAGGTAACTTGTCTCTCTCCTTCAAGCAACTGTCCATACATATGTTGATGCAGTAGGTAACTCCAAACAGTACTTCTCAGAAAAACTCCATTTACCTGGAGGAGAGTCCCATGAGTCCCTAGATGAATACACACCAAATGATTGTTCTCCTAACGGCCACAGCATGCGGAGAGGTGAAATAAAACAGAGCTCCAACTAACTCTTCCACAGCTATCAGGAATGAAGACATCCCACTGGGAGGCCACTGGCAGTGAAGCTGGTAACAACGGAACTATGCTTCAAACTCTAACCCATCAAACATATATAATCAAGGTTTAAACTGATCATGAGCCAGCAGTGTGTGCCCAGGTGGCCAGAAAGGCAAATGGCATCCTGGCCTGTATCAGAAACAGTGTGGCCAGCAGGAGTAGGGAAGTACAGTGTTCAGTTTTGGGCTCCTCACTACAAGGACATTGAGGGACTGGAGCGTGTCCAGAGGAGAGCAACGAGGCTGGTGAAGGGTCTGGAGAACAAGTCTTATCAGGAGTGGATGAGGGAGTTGAGATTGTTTAGTTTAGAGAAGAGGAGACTGAGAGGAGACCTTACTGCTCTCTACAACTACCTGAAATGAGGTTGTAGAGAGGTGGGTGTTGGTCTTTTCTTCCATGTAGCTAGCAACAGGGCAAGAGATAATGGCTTCAAGTTGCACCGGGGGAGGTTTAGATTGGATATTAGGAAAAATGTCTTTACTGAAAGAGTGGTCAAACACTGGAAGGGGCTGCCCAGGGAGGTGGTGGAGTCACCACCCTTGGAGGTGTTCAAGAAGCATGTGGATATGGCGCTCCAGAACATGATTTAGTGGTCATGGTGGTGTCAGGTTGACGGTTGGACTCGATCTTAAAAGGTCTTCTCCAACCTTAGTGATTCTGTGATTCTAAATTCCACTACAGGACATGGTCTCTTGCAAGAGGAAAACTGCATCAGATTAATCAGAAAAATTAGCATAGTAAGACTTAGCAGCACTTGAAAAGCCCTACATTTGTAGGTGCATGTTAAAGATAGACATCAGATAAAGCATAACTGAGCTAACGAAGAACACAGTCCTCTCCCGTTCCAGCAAGTTAATAGTCCTTCAGAGAGCCTTTTATACCTGCATACACAACTATTCAATTCCTTTGGCAATACGAGCATGCCAAAGAGAATGCTTCCTAATGCTAACATTAACCAAAATAAGGATGAGTAAACATGTGTATTCTAATGCCAAGATATTCTACCATCCTTAAGAGAGCGCTGAACTACACAGGACATAACTGACCACAGGCTGGCACTAGAATTTTTGACAATGTAGGCAGTATCTTCAGGCTGTCAGTAATATGGAGCAATGGGCTCCAGAAAAAATTAACTTAGCCAGGGAAAATAAGAGCAAGCAATAATATTCTTGTAGCTACTCACTGTTTGCAGATGGTTGGGCTGAAAAGCAACTGGCAAGAACATATATAGAGGAGCTTCCACAGCAGCCTGAACCTGAGAGGCTAGTACTTATTGAGAAGCACTAAAAATTTCTCACTTGAGGAGATAAAGTCAAAGTGTTCATGAAACTTTGTTAATGAAATATAACAAGGGAAAGTGCAGAGTCCTGCATCTGGGCAGGAACAACCCCAGGTTCCAGTATAAATTGGGGAATGACCTGTTGGAGAGCAGTGTAGGGGAAAGGGACCTGGGGGTCCTGGTGGACAGCAGGATGACCATGAGCCAGCACTGTGCCCTTGTGGCCAAGAAGGCCAATGGCATCCTGGGGTGTATCAGGAGGGGGGTGGTTAGTAGGTCGAGAGAGGTTCTCCTCCCCCTCTACTCTGCCC